TTCGTTACAAAGCCTTCGTACCTGGGAGGCTGGTGTAATGCAGGAAACTTGAGCGAAATTGCACAAAATATTGTTGTTGTTCAGCGCCATGGCCACATAAAGTGTTCGAATACAAATGGACTCCAGTGCATAATTTCGTCGAGATTGCATCGGATGCTAATATTATACTCTTGAGAAATAATAATTTCAAACAAAGAGGACTTTATTGCTTCACTAGTTTTTGCCTGCGACTTCGTCCCGGTAGGGTTTAATAAAAATGTAATTCGTTTTTACTCTTTTGTTCTAGACATAGTATGTGTCAATTTTATCAATAAGATTGGCAATTTTATTTTAAAGAAATTAAATATATAAAGAATTGCTAATAATGTACTTCAGCGCGCCATCTCAGATTCAACTATTTAACTATAACTATGATTGAATCTCAATGCCAACTTTTATCCTATAGAAAAGAGCTATCTTTACGGTTTTCCAGCAATTATTCGAATTTTTCTTGTTGTAAAAACCACCCTTGGACTATAACGAACATTTTATAAAAACTATTGGCCAAATTGGTCAAGGCGTTGTTGAGATATGCGCTTACCAACAGATTTTTCTATTTATTTATATATTATATTTCTGATTTTTTTTCAAAATGGCGCTAAAGGTTAAAGAAACTACTTTTATCACTTGCGGATAAAGTTTTTAATGCAATGCAAGTTTTGCTGCATGTTTTTGTATTTCGTAAACGAGCTTAGAGAAACTACCAAAAAGCAAAGAACAAGAGCCAAAGGTTTATTCATTGCATCATATAACAACTCCGAGCTCAAGCTTGGCGGAATTATAGCGTGGCGGCCATAACAACGTAACAGCGTTACGAGAACACCAGAAAGGCACAACAGCCCTACAGCTGCGCATTCATTCCAGACGGGAAGTTGCTGTCTGCTCTGCTGACGAGCGCAAAGTTTAAACTTAAACAGAAAGAGAGTGCCACACAGCGCGCTACTAGGCATTGACATTGGCTTCACAGAATTGGGTATGGTAACGAAGTAACGACGCCACCACGGTCCTCATATCCAGCTCAGACACAGTCGCAGCTGCGACCCGCAAACTTCCACCAAAAGTGTTGAAAAGAAACGAGCCGCAGCAAAGCCAGGAAGGCAGCACCAGAGGCGCGCGCGAGCGTGTGGCAACATGGCAAAAGTCTCAAGAGTTTAATTTTCCGATTTTATATTATTCCCCGCGTCGCGTTTTGAAGGAAGCCCAACTCACACAGTTATGCAAACGTTACGCAGTGTGGCGATGACGTCGGCGGCTCTTCGCCCGCTTGATTTCCTCTCGAGCATGCAAACGCGGACAGGACATGGGAAACCTCGGCGGGTCTTTACGATTTGCATAAAGTACCAACCTACGAATGCAATTCGAAAGCATCTCTATGTGTGTATGTGAATATGTACGCATGTATTGATTTAGAATTGCAAATATCATTGCAATTTTCATCCACTTTATTTTCACTCCGCGCGTTTTTTTTTTGTGTTCATTCTGAAATTGTAATTTTCTTTGATCATGCTGATTTTAAAATGGCCGAGTTTTGAGGTCGGGCACGTGCGCTGGTAAGTAATAAAAAAATATTTAAGTAACAACATTTCGAGCGGAACGCAATACAAAGCAAACCGCCGATGGCGCCCGAACGGATGTAGAATTTTTACACAAACATTTGCCGCTCGTAATTAAACTGTCCCCGCGCACAATGCGAAAGCGCCTCGGCAATGAAAATCCAATTAAGTGGAAGTCGTTTTGCCCGGGTAGAGCCGCAAAACTCGCCCACATTCTCCGACTCTCTTCACAGTCTCATATTCATATCATATCCATATCATAATGGGCGCTATCGTACTTTTCGTACCGGATGATGACTAAACAAGTACGCTAATAATTCGTAAAAAGTAACGCATCTTCATTTATGCATCAAAATGATGAATTTAATACAAATCAAATCGGAGGAATAAAAAATTATAAAATGAATGAGAAAGATGATTAGAAATTTTATATTTTTAACTACTTTGCCCGCGTAGATTTGCAATTTTATTTTAAAGAAATTAATTATATAAAGAATTGCTAATAATGCACTTCAGCGCGCCATCTCGGATTCAACTATTTAACTATAACTATGATTGAATCACAATGCCAACTTTTACCCTCTAGAAAAGTGCTGTCTTTAGGGTGATCCCGGCAATTATTCGAATTTTTCTCGCCGCAAAAACCATCCTTGGACTTTAACGAACATTTTAAAAAAAGAATTGGCCAAATTGGTTTAGGCGTTGTTGAGTTATGTGCTTACCAACAAATTTTCCAATTCATTTTTATAGTATAGATTTATTACTACTCAATTACTATAGTGCAAATGAATATTAAAATGTAATTACTGTATCACCTTGTGTAGATGATAATTCTGTGCATTGCAGTGCTCTAAATACACTCTATTCTTCACTAGTGTTGAGTTTGAGGTTGAAGACAATACTCCAGGGCGTTGCTAGTGTCAGAGACTATCACGAGATTGTGTAACTCATCCGCCGGCATAAATTTGCAACTTGCACAACGCACAAGGCACATTCTCGCCACTTTTGCAGAATTGTGCGAACGCAGTTGCAAGAAATACGAAAATTACGAGTACTGGAGCGCGACTGCATTTCATCGAGATGCCCTCAGCGCGGAAGCTGACTTTACGAGTGGGAAATTCATAATTCATCAACTGGCTGTTACCGTAACAATGAAAATACACATTTTATACGCGCCTTCGTTAATCTTAACAAGATGTATATTGGAATCATAGTCATAATGATGCACATATCGAATACAATACACATATGTTTCGCTTCCCATTGTTGTTGTACGTTTGTGAATTTATAAAGTGTGTTTGTTAAGCTGGTAGCGCTTCTGCGTGTTGAGAGCCCAGCCTCCAGCCGACGGTTATTATTATGCACGACGTAATAAATTCAATTGCGTCCAATTTGGTTTCGTTTTGCGGACAGAGGCAGCGCACGCGCGCGCGCAAATAATGTTGTGATAATAATGTTGAATGTTGAAATGTAATTCGGTTAATGTGGAGCTAATTTACACTTGTTTCGCGTCGTGGACCTTGCTGGCATAAAGTTTAAAGTTTATAGCACTGGTAAAAGTGGAAAGTGTATATGCAATCTTGAAATTTCATTTCGTTACGCTTTATAATTGAATTTATTTGTTTCAATTACAAACTGAATGAAAATTGTAAACTTTAAGTGTATGGTACGAAGCTAATGATATTAAAATATAGTATTATGTAAGCTATTTTATTAGTTAGAAGAGTAATAGATGGAAAGTCATTAGATGTTATTTAAAAATTGATTTTTCTAAAAGCATTCCCGTTGCGCGGCATTAATCGCTAATAGCTTTACACTTTAGGAGGGCGGCAGGCACGAAAACATCGAGAGAAATTATCGGGACAGAAGTAAACAGAAGTTGTCCATTAACTAAATGATATACCAAATTATATTCGATATTTCCGCTGCTCGTTTGTGCCTTTTCACCCTTTCTACACTCACACATTAATGGGATTTGAATTAACTAACAATGACAAAGTAGTTTTTTTCTGCTACATTTGAAGTTTACTTTTGAAGTTTATTTTACGAAACTTACTATAGATTAAACACTGAAAATATAATTTGGGGGAACATATTATTGTGGATACCACATCTAAGTAAATAAACGATAGATATTAATATCGTAAGTTCTGTTAAATTACTAAAACAAAAAAAACTCGTTACGATTAATGTTCCGCGTAGGATATGCACAGACTAATAAACTAAATGCAGTTAATTATAAAACCAAAGCCCTGAACGATAGTCCTGCGTCGGCCGCACGTGCGAATGCCGTATCTAAAGCTTGAAGGATAAAGCTCGAGGCGTGTAAATATGCCCGGCTATAGCGCGGAAGCGAAAGTTTTTTGCTCCTCATTTGCGTCCGTACGTGCGCGCCTCGCTTTGTTTCATCTCGCCGGGTTGTTGCTCGAAATGGGGCACATGCCCATCGGGATAAACCTATATTATCATAGCCGCGCGCGTACAGCCTTGTTGCGCGAGATGGGGTCGGGGCCGGGGATAAAAACGGGCGCATCGCGTCAAGGATGCGAGAATGCGAGCGATGCCGGCGACGCGAAGGATGTCTAGCGAATAAGGACGAGGACATTAACGCAGATGGCGCCACATGTCGAGGCCCTGACTCGCGCGCGGCGCCTACGAACGGTATACGTGTCGCCATCTAACCGCCAGCTGCCACAGTTATAGCAACAGGTCTATTTTCAGATACAGAACCGAATGAATACTTATTTTTAAAATCAATTTTCTTCTTTAAATACAAACAAAAAATGGTATTATTTATATGTCATAAATAATAATAAACAACGTAAATATTTGATTGTAAATTACTTTGAAATTAATTGCGACCTTTGGCTTTGGCAGAGTAATACAATCAACAGGTGTTCCTGCCGAAAATTGTTTAAACGCTTTTATAACTGCTGCGGTTATTTGACTTACGTAAATTTTTTGCAAATAGCAATTAGTCAATCACAGAGACGTGAAAATAAAAGCGCAGCTGAATTGTGCAATCAGTTGAGCACGTAATCAACGTTTTCACATTCAGATTAGCGTGTGGCGTTCTCAGAATGAAGATTATCCACAATTATATAAAATACGAATTGCCATCACATCAGCACATATTATATTTAATCCATATTCTCATTGCACGTTACAATTATTAATATTCTGAAATCGTATAACCGAGAATATTTTTAGGACAAATACCAACGCACAAAACAACAAAATTCCTATGCGTTTTGTGTCAATCCTCTCATATTTTAATTAAATTTGTGAAAACCTTCAAAACTAAAGATATTTACGCGGATGACCTCCAGACAATGATAATAATAACAAAAGCGCATTGAATTGATAGTGACAATGAAAGTAGCACAAAATGTGGGCTTACATTGACTTTCACCCGCATAAATCATCAATGTCAGCACGAAAAAATTTCAGAGTAAAAATATCACATACCGCCATGTTCTTGCGAATAATCGCCGCCCGTTGCTGCTTAAGTAATTTCGCCAAGCGCTGCGTGCGCTGCGCAACAGTAAGAGGCCCAGCTAGCGAGTCCTCTTCGACTTCTTCCTCTTCAGGTGTAAGCCTCGTGTGTCCCGGTGGACTATGACGCGGCGTTACCGTACTGAGCGGTACCGTTTTCGCGATGAGCGTTTCACTGCGCACGCTCCACTGACTTGAACCGTACTTCTTCTGATTCATCAGATCGCCGATGCTTCCGCGCGTGAGATACGCGTTGCTGTTGATGCTGCGCGACAGATAAGGGCTGTGTGGCAGCGACGAAGGGCTCGCGGACAACTGATTATTTGCTGTCGTCGAGCGCACTAGGTACGGCAGCGGGACGGCGGCGAGTTTATCCAGTTCGCTCATACTGCTGCCGCGTCGCATGCGTAAACGCTGGCATTCCGCCACCGCCGGCTCCTTAGCCGCTTTCTTATGCTTGATGCGTTCGGCCGAACGCGCCACGTGCGAGGATTTCATTGCAAACAGACCGGTTTTCAACGGGAAAAGTAATGCCCATTCGGTTGAATGATGTTCTTCATCATCCATGGTTGATAATTCCAGTTGTTTTATTTTAAGTTTTCACTTCAAATTTCTACTACAGAATCAAATTTGTGCATGTTTTTGGTATATGCGCGCTGGAATTGTCATTGAAGATAACATTTATCAACATTAACACAATTTGTTGCTGGTTTTAGTCTAACACTAATATCACACAAAAACTTAATAGAATAGGAATCTGTTTATATTTTAATCGGTTTATGTTTACGTTTTTTTTATTTTAATGAAAAAATTTGGTATAAGTTATGCACGCGCACACCTCTCGGTTTTTTGTGTCCTCACCGCACCCGACACGATCGACAACTGTTGCTGGAAAAACGTGCGCGACGCGAAGGTGGCGATTGCCGCTATCGCCGTCAGAGACGCGAGGAGGCCGTGGAGCGTGTAGCGGAGACCCCGCCGCGGCCGACATTCGTTTATTGGTTACCCACTCAGCCGGGATCTAATGCTGTTAGCATTGCCCTAGTCATAACAGGACACCGATGCCCGCAGCACACATCTTACCGGATGTGTGTGCGTGTTTATTATCGATGGCGAAATTCGCGCCATGCGAGCATATATAATTCGAGGCGGGCGGGTGGACGCACGAAACACAAACGAATCCATCGTGCCCCCTCGATCCCTCCCTCATCTGAGCGATAGTGAGAGCTGTGAGCGCAGTGAACGACACCTCGTTTTATATTAAATATCAATACCCAAATTACGCTCGAGTGCACGCACACGATGTAATCTCCCAAACGAGGAAACCAGCCGAAATCAATTTTAGATTATGTCATCAAAATGGCGTCTATGCATTTAAAGGTCATATTACGAGCAGTGTGTCTTTTGTGTGGACATTTGTACTTGGTAATATGATATTAATGCATTTGGACCTCTTCAGACGTGTCAAGAGGTAACTTAATCGAGCTTTTTTACTCTGTTTGCTTTGTTTTTATTACAGCGGGTAAACTCAATCACACACAGGTCGCAAACTGTTCATTTGATTGGCGAATCTATAGACTAGTCAAGTGACAACGGATCCGAAATGACGGAAATGGCGGTGACACTGCAATTTAAGTTCAATGCATTTTAATGTACTATGAATTGGATTCGCCCTTTTACTCTACGTGTATATTTCCTGTTTTTTTTTGCTTTGAATACGCGCATTTTGCGCACGGCGCGTACGCGAAAAAGCTTTAAGGGTACGCCGCCAGGCGGTCCCCACACGCGGCGTCCGCCATGTCGATTGCAAGCTTTGCACTCTCAACAAAATTCACGCGTAATGCGGTCGCATTTCTCGTTTAGGACTCATTCCCACATTCAACCAAAGTCCATTAGTGTATCCTGCTGATACAAAACTCTCACCCAAAACGCGTTTTTTTATTTTTTAAAATACCAAGATAAAATCACTTACGTTTAGTTGCATGATGATCTTATTGTAAGCCCAATGCCATCTCTGCTGTGCGGTGACCTGTGGCCGTGGTGGTTTCTGCTCCTCTTCCTCCTCGAATGACACCTTCTTCTCCTGTGGCGCCATCTCTGCTTGGTCCGGACTGAACACCTCCGTCGTTTCCTGGCGCTCCAGTTGGCCCATCTGATCGGGTGATTGTCTGCCTGAAGTACGTCGCACACCGGTCGCCCCCGGCACGACGACCGCGTTCCCGTACGAGTCGACGGACGGTTTGCGCGGCGCGCCATACTCGTCATACATTTGGTTCGCGTCACTTAGCGATGCGCGATGATTGTCTGGCGCGTACGCATCCATCGCGGACGGCCGCCGCGAAGGGTAGTCCTTGGCGGCACCCGGCTGCGCCGCCTGCTGGTAAGGATCGACGACGGTCAGCTGCGACGAGCCGCGTCGCAGTGCCGCCTCGACGTGTATCACAGATTGCGGCGACTCGCGGTTGATTATTGCGTTGCCGGCGGGCGCGAGATCACCACCATTCACAGGTGTCGCCAATTCCTCTTCCTCCTCGAGATAGTTCTCATCTTCTTCGTAGTAAGTCTCGCGGTCCCCACCATACATGAGCGCGTCTCCTGGCTGCCAGCCGACATCGATTGTCTCCTGTTGTTGGAGGTAACCACGACTAAGACCGTTCATCTTAGCGGTACCATTTACCACAGCCCCGGAGGTAGGAATGGTCTGACCCGTCGTCGAATACACGGATTGGGCATACGACGTTGCAGTGCCGTTTGTTACTATTGCTTGTGTCATATTCGAGTCGGTTTGGTCCCGGTTGTATTGCGCGGTTGTGGTCTGAACACCAGATGTAGGTGTCTCATAATAATATTTATCATAATCTTCATACCCATATGAATTATCATACGTTGTGGACATTGTTGTGGTCATATCCATTCCCGAAACAGAATACTCAGGATACTGATTAGCAATTGAGGAGGATATTGAGGATATGGCTGTATCAAAGGTATTCTTAAACTCGTCATCGTGAACCGTCATACTGTCATAACTTGAGGTAACAGGCTGTGTATTGTATGATGATTGACTCACTTGCACCTGATGTTGCAACTGCTGACTTGCTGGTTGATTTTGTTGACTTGTAGGCGCAGGCGTCATTAACGATGACTTCAACATACTGCCCATTCCTGAGAGTGTGCTGCCGAAGAACTTTAATGTACTTGTTGAACCTTCTAACAGATTACTCGCCGCTTTGGCCACAGATGGCACTGCAGCCGATGCCAGATTTGAGGTTACATTTGCTGTTGTACTTGGGGCACTGGTGGTACTCACAGACTGACCTATCGCCGTCGACGTATAATCATAACTCGAGTTTGCATTCGATATAGATGTTGAGATCAACGATGAATATTGCTCGGTGTTTTTCGTGTTCGCTTCATTCTGATAGTAGTCAGTCCCGGTCAACGTCTGACTATCTTCATTATAATAGTAGTCCGACTGGTAATCCGTTTGATAATCCGACTTGTACTCATCTTTGTATTCCGACTGGTAATCGGTCTGATCGTAATCAGTCTGATAATCTGACTTGTAATCGGTTTGATAGTCCGTGGTTGACTTGAAATCGGATTCGTACTGCAAAGGCTTGAAATCAGCAGCCTGATAGTCAGTCTTGAAATCAGATTGATATTCTGACTTATAATCGGTTTGATAGTCCGACTTATAATCCAATTTATAGTCAGTTTTGTAATCGGCGCTTGTTGACATGGTGGTCATGGTGTTGTTGTAGTAGTTTTGCGCGCTCTGTGTGCTTGTCGTGGTGACCGTTGACACGACACTAGTGCTTATCGTGGTGGTCACGCTGGTTGTAACAGTTTTCTTCCCGAAGCCAAAGAATGCCGCCACATTGGTGATGGTATCTTCCTGTTCGGGTTGCGCCGGTAAATTATCCGTGCTTTGATATGCGTAGTTGTAGTCTTCATTATAATTGTCCCGTGCACTCATCGCGCCCGCACGTGTATAATACGGATCGTAGACGTCATTCGCGTCCGTATATTCAGCGCTACTCGTTCGCTTCATGAGGTTGGCCCGTCGGGACTTGGCCGTGCGGTTGTTTAGATTCGTAACGCTCGGTTTGGGCAATTGCCTACCAGGTGTAGGTGGTAGACTATTCGGTTGTTTGTTGGCTTGAGGTAGCAACCGCGTTTTCTGCGTTTTCGTCGGCGTTGGTGGCAAACTAGCACCGCGTGAGGTTTCCGTTGGAGTGCGATACCCGTCAAAGTCATCATGAATTGAACTTTGTCTGCTCGTAGACCTTTTGGTGGGTATCTGAGGTAGACATTTACGCCTACCCGGTGTAGGTGTAGGTGCGCCATAGGTACCATCATAGATCTCTTCGGTGTTGATAACAGAACCGCGTCGTTTCGCAACCGCCGATGGCAGAGTGGGCAAGCGCTTTCCGGTACCGCTTGCGTGTTTGGGTGCATATCCTCCCGAGTCCCACTGGCGGTCCTCTTCATCCTGGCCGTAACGCTCTTCTTGGAATGGGTATGAGGGTGTGTTGTAATAGTCGTCTGTGTTTTGATTGAATTGTTTGCCGCTACAAGATAAAGCAGGTATCAATAGACATTCGTGTACGGGTGGTTGGCGTCAGCTGGCAACGGTTACGTACCCAGTGTGAGCATAAGAGATTTCATTTAGTTGATTTGTTGTATACGTGTTGATGTCTGTGTATTCGTCATAAAGAGTTGTTTGTCTTTCCAGGCTTGGTCGGCGTGTGGCTAAAACAACAATAATAAAGCAACTTGACACACATCACAATCTAATGAGAATTCACGCAATTTACCTTTGGTTGTCCGCCGCGACGGTTGATCCGAAATATAATCGTTGCAACTGTCAAAGCTCTGTTGTGCACTGTAGTAATCATGACTGCTCCACTCTTGGCTACAAAATGCAATAACAATAAGTATCATCTAACTTTATGATTGCACAGTCTGATTGATGAAACATTTACAAATGAATGCCAATGAATGATCGATGCTAGTAGATAAATAAATTAAACAACATTCAATTGGATTTTGTTTGCTTTTATGTTGTAAGAGTAGGGTTTGGTTAGTAGGAGAAGGTTCTAGACATGATCTGATGCGATGATCCAATGAAGATTGTGCGCATTTCTAATCAGCATTAAATCATGTTTACCTGTCTTCAACGTCCCATGCATATTTGCGTCTACGGCTTTTACGATTGAAAGTAATAAAATAACGAAATACTTATATAATCTCATATTCTTGGATAACAATAACTAAACTACATCTAGCAGCAAACATCATGAACGTATCATAAAAATATCAAGATTATAGTTTTTCTTTCATGGATGATAAATATACAATACGTTCATGATATTCTTTGCAACGGTAGAAAATAAATTTGATATTTAGTGTATTTCTGTATCTAAATGTTGTAAACTCAGGGTATTCATAGCAAGGCATGTTTAGCTAGATGTAGGCATATCAGTGAGGTATCTATGTCAATGATGTCACCTGAATATCGTGTGATTATTAATCTTAGTCAACGTTTGACAATCGGCTACCAGTTTGCAATATACATACTTCGTGTACTCCTTGTTCCTTGGTCGACTGTTGTACGACAACGGCTCCGTGTCCGCATTGTTGTCACCGTAGTTCCGATTGTTGCTAATGTTTGACTGGCCATAATCATCATCGTACGTATTGGGCGAGTATCGCTAAAAATAATTGCGAAAAGTTATCAAAGAAAGAAAGCAGAAATGCGGGTTTGAGTGAATTTGGGATTAAGTGTAAATGAAGTGTTTGAAATGTAAATATCGAGCGTGTTATCGAATGATATTCACCTGTTGCATGTGGCGTTGGCGGTGCGTGCCCGGTGAAAGGCGGTTCTGGTGTGTGGGCGGCTGCGGTAGATAGTGATGGCCGACGCCGTCGTCGCGGTCGTACGAGTTTTCCCTGGACGTCTCCAACGACCGCTGCGGCGTGTGCAACTGATGGGCAGCGGAACGGAATTGCGACGCCGAGGAATTCGCATGCTGCCCCACTGGGTAATTCAAATCCGACGTATAGTCGCTGTCCTCCGAGTAACCAGCTAAAAATATAACCTCAATTACTAGTAATTCGCCACCTATGTTCGAATAGGATTACAATGTCCGAAGTACTGCATCTGCCTGCGTGCCTGTTCGGCTCTAGCTTCCGGGTCCATGATGTTGTTGAGCAGCTCGAGCTTCTTCTGCAGATCGGACGCCTCTATGTTCTCCGGATCTGTAATCACAGGGAAAGTAATTAACACCAGCTTCAAACGCTTGTAATCATCCGCCGTCAGAGAAGAAAAGAGACGAGGTAAGATACAGACAGACAATTGTGTGGTTGTAAGAACAAGAAGTACAAAAGAATCAGTAACCTTTTACAGTTTGCTGTGTTGTGCTGTCACACTTAAAACACAATTACAATTCACAATCTGGTTTGTTGAATTTGTGCGTTGTGGGTTGCGTTTGCGTTTATTACATTCACATTCTATTACACTGTAGATATATGTTTCCGGGGTTGTTGTAGAAACTGTGCACGATGAAAAATCCAGTGGCTAATTCGAGACAAATGGCTGGCTCGCGTGGATCGTGTTCATTTTCGGTTTGATTACAGCCGAGCGCGCAAATCAAATTTGCGAGCTCACATCCAGGACAAAGTGCAGATTGATGCGAGGGGTGTGTGAATATGGACTCAGAGAATCTAATTTAACATTGTCACTGTGTGCACTTTGCTATTACACAGCGGTAATTGCTTTTCAGCAATGTGATTTTCATTAATATCGATGCAATTGAATGTGCAAAACGGTCATCTCAAATGCATCGTGATAAAAGCACTATTTCCATTACCAAAATTTAATTATCTAATATTTTATACACTCTATATGTAATGAAAGACAGAAGAATCACAATCACGCCATATTACACAAAGAAAGCTATAGATTGAGGTTAAGTAAGAGTTTATTGAATTGAAAAAGTAGTTTTGAGAGCGGTGCCGGCAGAAGAAGAATATAGAGACAAGATCGTCGTGCTGAATGCCAACATCGTAATCTCAGTGCTGATGGAGAGCTGATGTTACCTATGGAAGCGCTAGTTTCGGGAACGGAGACGACGGCGGCGCCCCAGCCACCACCGGCAGGGCGCACGAGTTGCGCATCCGCCAACAAGCTGCGCCATCCCGTGGGAGGGTCGCAGCGTCCTGTGCAACCCACACTCAGCGTCAGCGTCAACAACAATGCAACTAACGCTAAGAAGTCACCGAGCTATCAACGCACAACACGCCACTTCGATCTAATGGTCACACAAATGTTATTTACAACTTCAACTACAACTACGATCAAATTACACAACACACAACTACTTCTACACATCAACATCAACAAGTACATAAGAAATAAATCATTCCAGAGAAAAGAAAAAGATTATTATTTGCAGAAAAAGTGAAACGTTTTGCGTTTTATCTTCAAATATTTATCATTTACTGCAAGACAGATAAAAACACGTCTTGAGTCGCCGAATAAAGTTTTACGAAAAGTAATATATTTGGCACAATTTATCGTATCTACGTGCAATTCTCTTTTTTTATTTCACATTCATTATTCATATCGCAACATCCAACGTTGAAAGTTAATGCAAAAAGAGCCTTAAAGTTACGTAAACGAGCTATTCATTGTTGCGGCGGGTTTTATTTCATGCGACATTTTATCAGAAAAACCTTAATCATACAATGTGCTTAAATATATTGTATGTTTTTATTGTAGCATCAACCAAACACACAAAATATTGAAATTAAGAAGAGCTTTCAAAGCGACACTCGAAAAAACTTTTTTCCTTGCAAAAAAATTCACGTTTTTATGAATTGGGAATTAATTTCTCTTACATAAAATAAGAATAGCAATAAAAATTACCAATTCTTAAATAAAATAAAATTAAATATCAGTTTAGTTGGTTGAATAAATACCGATTGGAAATCAATGAATTTAAATTCGCGATTGCTTAATACATATTGCCTTGAACTTACTCCCGCCGCCCTTTGACCGACGGCGGTGAATGCTGAATGGATTCCTGATAGATAACTCGGGCCAAATCCAGCCGCCGGCAGTTAAAGTTTAATCGAACGCGAATCGCATCACAATGTATCGAAGCAGAGAGTGTCGAACTTAGAATGTCGAGACGGCGGCCAGTAATGTTCTTCAACGCTTAGCGATAAATTGAATTTTAGTATCAAATGCCTCAATTTCATTCATCTCAGATATTAATCAATTTTATGCGTTGCAAACGTCTTAAAAGTTTCCATTTCCATTTAATTTTATTACCGTCAGACTTCGAGTACTTTGGGTTGCCTATCTGCCTCACATATAGGTAATACATATTCATATTTGTCTTCTGATGAATCTCGAGTTTGCTCAATGTGAACATAAAGTAGACTCGGTGCACACGTTATAATAATAAAATAGTTAACTGCCGTGCCCTTAAACGGTTTATTGGCGTTTTATTGACGATGCGAAATCACCGTCCGTCATTATCATAAAAACAAAGCAGACTAAGAAACAAACGTAAAAAACTAACACTCATTCAACTACAGTAAGAACACATCTAGTTCGGGATTTATAATTAAAGCGTTTGCATTTTCAGTTTTGCAAATTGATTGCTGACGTGTCATCACGTGTTTCTAGAAGGTTTTGACAATCACGGGTAACGATGCGTGTGACGGTGTGTGACTACAACCCTACGAGCATTTTGCGACTGCATATGATGTACTTACTATCCTCAATAGTAACACATTTCTGGCTATTAAAGATGCGAGAACCCCTAAACGAGCCCAGAAAAAGAAACTTTTGCTTTTCATTTTCGAATACGATGCGTGGGATGATGCGACAGACACGCACACACAACAAATACACTCGCACACGACAGGCATTGTATGATACAGATTTTATTATGTTACAGATTCGTTGTTGTTGATTGATGCTGACGAGATACAAGAGAGAATGAAGAGCGAATGGAATGTTGAATAATGTGTCAATGAACGAGAGCGATTAAAGCTGGAGCACATTCAGAAATCGTTAAGTTTGTCAAAAATAAAACGACTACAAAAATCGAACAAATGTGATTTGCTTGATATATGTGTTTGAAATATAGAGTAAATGATTAGGTGATTGATATTTGCACAACACACAATTAATAACAAACACGAGGTGAAGGTGGTGTGGGTGTGGGTGAGAAACGTCTAAGAGTGAGGAGACGAATACGTGTGTATTAATTAAAAAATCGAGGCGGCGGCTACTCACCGAAGGGCAACTCGAAGCGGCACTCGACTAGCAGCGAATTGCCTGTTGGATTCTTGGTACCCACCACTTCGCTGTCGCGCATCACCAGCTCCGCGTCCAGGGACAGCCACTTCGCCGCTTCCGCCTGCAAATACCGTGCACATTGACTACTACAACTAATGAGGTGGCTGAGATCAACTGAACGGATGAAAAACTCTTGATTCAATGCGGCAATGATGAAATGTATGAGAAAATGAACCTCATCCTGGGCCGTTAAAAGTAAAACATTATTCACGCGTTTATTTTGTTCCGGTTTTGTGGGATTGTTCTAACCGAAGTTTGGGAGTTTGGTGCACAGATACGTACTTGGTTGGTAGTGTACGGTATTCCCTGCAGAGGCAGCCAGTGGTAGCCCATAGCGCGATCCCAGATCATCCCCTTGCTCCAGACCTCGATCAGCAGGCCAGTGTTCAGATCGTTTGTTTCGCTAAACGTACACACGCATCAAACGCCGAATTAATTGACATTAAACAAAAATCCTACAGCGGAATAACCACAAATACATTTAGCCAAAAATTAAAGTATTAACTAAAAGTAACTAAAACTAAAACATTGATTTTTTCAATTTTTAGTTAACAATTGATTAGAATTTCAAAGGCATGCGATAACAAACTTCAAACAGGTCAATTTGTCTGAGAAAACTGCTGCATTATCAGTGCAAGACAAACAAAACGCACTGGAGTGGAATATAAATATTGGGGTGGGGGTAACTTACAAGAGAAAATCTTGTTCCCAGCATGGCGACGCACCCTTCACGGTCACCGTCGTCGATTTTACGTTTTGAAGTTTCAATGTGACGTATGAGTTAAATTGCGCTGCTCCTAAGATATAAATATAAGAAGATACGTTTTAGATTAAACTTGAACTTGTTTAGTTTATCATTAAGCCGTTGTATCAGGCGCTCATCACAATTTCTAATTTAGAATATTACTAAGCTATGGGCTAGTTAGTAAAGTGCAAATTTTATATTATAATTTATTCACAATTAAATATTAAAGTACTTACCGGGAGCTCCGACGTAGTGAGCCTTTTTAACTGCAACAAGAAAAAAATGTCGATTATTTACAAGAAGCAATATAAAACGGCTGCAGATTTGCGATTTATTTATCAAAGAATTGAAGTATTTTCATCCGTGCTTTCTTTCGTATTTCACAATCACATTTATTACATGATATATTATTTCTTATTGCGTTGTATAGCATTGTACTGGTTCACATACTATTTCATTTCAGTTTTCCATTTCGCACAAGTTGTACGTGACCGAGTTTACAGTAATATTTTTAATTTTGCGCTCGAGTTGAGCACTTGCGAACGATAAGAACACTAAGTATTGTTGCCGTCGCTGCCACATTGCAATGTAGCAAGTGCTGCTCAAGACACACAGTGCTATGCGGCGATCAAAACGGCGCACATGTATATGAAGTTTTCCGCAAGTCGCTGGAAAAGTTTTATGGCGTTGAAAACGGCGCTCACTTTTGAAGCGGAGCACATTCTCTAATTACGATCATAAATATGAACAAAATACAATGTGGCAACTAGTTTAACCACTTTTTATTTCAAATCGCACTAACAAATTTATGCGTAAACGCTTTGCGAAGAAATGTTGAGCGTAATTAAGTAATTTTCATCGAAAAACTTTTATTTTCGAGGTTAGACGTGAAATAAAATTAAATGTAACTTTCGGTTGACTTTGAACTTTACGCTCGAGAATAAGGAAAAATCGAAGATTATAAATTCGACATGGATCTTCAGTCCCGAGAATATATTCATATCTGATAAATCCGAAGGCAATCTCGACATCAAATACCTTCCTCTCTCGATGACAAATTACAATAATTTCCTAAGTCATCAAATCTCACGGAGATATAAACTTGAGGGTCGTAACTTTTTGAATCTGAATAATTTATTAGGTGGTTTCATATCACAAATGATATTGCAATAAGAAAACGTAATATCTCAAGTAAAGATCATCACTATCAGAGGGCGGTAGCAGCATTAACCTAAATATTAATAACTAGCAATTCTATCAATAAGATTCGCAATTTTATTTTAAAGAAATTGATTATTTATAGAATTGCTAGAATTCACTTCAGCGCGCCATCTCGGATTCAACTATTTTACTATAACTATGATTGAATCTCAATACCAACTTTTATCCTATTGAAAAGGGCTGTTTTTGGGTTTTCCCGGCAATTATTCAAATTTTTCTCGCCGTAAAAACCATCCTTTGACTTTAACGAACATTTTAAAACAAGAATTGGCTCTATTGGTTTAGGCGTTGTGGAATTATGTGCGTACCAACAGATTTTGCGATTGGTTTTCATATTAATATTAAGCAAATTACCGTAAAATACTAGTTGAATAATATGCCAAAACTTACAAATACTTATTTTAAGTGTTCGTAATTTATTTGTTTACTTGCACAATATAGTTAGTGTTTGTTTTCTACACTAGTTGTTTGTCGTTGGAGTGTTTTTGCACGTTCGGCGGTGGCGCTTTTATATCCGCAGGGAGTTAGCATAGAGTTGGGCACTGAATTAAGCGAATAAACATTATAACTTCAACCACAAACTTTAATTTCGTCCAAACTGACGACGCAAACACGTTTTGCATTTCGACACGTTTGAAGCTCTGCTCGATCTGGTCAAAACTTTTAAAACTTAATTATGCAGTTAGGTAAATTTGTATTGATTGAGGTATTGAATGTTGTTTTACACCTATTCTAAACACAAAAAGTTAAAAGTATTATTTAATAGTATATTAACTATTAAGAATATTGAAAACATTTTATATGATCTTGTACTGCACCGTTGGCAAATGCGCCGGCGCAAGCTCCACCCCGTGACTAAAGACCGTGACTAAAATACTTTACTCACAGTCTTGGCCGCCCTTGTTTAAAATACCACTTTTTGTGTCTCTTAGACATAAAAAGAGCACAAACAAACTGATTTATTGAGCAAAAGATAATTTTACTAAAAATTCATTATAAATTTTTAGTTTATAGTTTTTATTAATAAATAATCAAGTACAAGGTTTATGATAAAATTATGAATCTAAAAAAAATCCACTTAATATTACTTTACATCATATGCCGCTGTTTTATTAATACCAGTATAACTATAATTAAAAGCACTTCATTCCGCCCACGCTTGAGACTACTCTTGAACATATTCATTATCACAATCAAAAGCAACTAAAAATAGTTTTTATGCAGCTATTATACTCAAGCCACGTTTTATTTTTTAATAATTAATCGTTCTTTAAAACTGATAATAAACCACTAAAAATTATGTTATAAACACCAACGCCAGTTTTTATTTGCTACCTCATCGTGATCGCCAACAATAAATGCCAGGATTCATAATGGAAACCGCGGGCACTAAATCACGCTTAAATGCTGCGCGCCAAGCGTTAATATTGAAAAGATGAAAAAGTAAAAATAACCGATCGCCTCGACGCCAGGGAAAAACTTGCCGGAGGAAAAAAATCTAAAAATAAAATTAAGCGCGGAAAGAAAGGGGAGAATGGCGGAATGCCCGCGAACAAAAACTGGTATTAAACGTCTGAATGGTGGATGCGCCCGCTGCCGGCGAGAACTAGTCTCGCCATTGTGTTCTTTGTTCGGATTTAATTACTTGTAATCTAGTCAAATGTTTTTAGCGGCTGATATTTCTTGCGATAGATAATTTTTATTTATTGTTTCAGGTTCTTTTTAGTTAATATTTTATTACACATGTGTGTTGTTAAACCGTTGGGCGTACGTGTGCATTAAATCAGGCCTTGGAATAAAGGCAAAAATTTATGTGTTGTGAAAATTATTCACGCTCACAACTTTTCCCCTTTTTATTTCTTTCACTGAGACCTTGTTTTTAGTGAAAATACGTGTTTTATATCTTTACACACTAGTGCATAAAAGTCTTTTTATACACCAGTTAGTTGATTGCACTTTTATGGTGTTGTCACAAAATAATATTTTTTTAAACTTGCAAAATTACTTTTTTACGTTTTGTAATCCATCAGATGTCCAATGACCATTTTTTTCATTTTAAAATTTGCATATGGTACACACACATCACATTTGGCATTTACCTAACCTAAAAATGCATTCATGTAATTGTTTGACCAATGAAACCAAATGACTCACCTGGTGTGAATACAAAGCTCTTTTTTCACACTTATTCTTAGATGTAATCCAAATATAGCTCTATGAAATTGCCTTTTTTGTATAACAAATGCATTTATTTGTTTGTGTGAATTTCTGTCCAACAATTGAACAATAAATGAGTGCCATTATTGTTGCGCCCCAGCACCACATTTATGAATATTTATAGGCTATATTCCCGCCTGGAAACCCGTTACGCTCATTTCGACATTGAATAATTATTTGCGTACGTTTTACGTACCAACCGCAGCCATGAAACTCACATTTGTTGCCCGAGATAATATCAACATATTACGCTTGGTTGAAAATTAAAAGTAAAAAGTTTCAATTCTTTTTTTGGACAATAGTGCGTAAATAGAAAATTTTTCTGAATTTATCTGGTATTAAGTGTTAAGTGTGTCTAATTGATTCAGTTGATGCATTTAACAATAAATATATTCAATTTATTTAATGCTAGCGCTCATATTTTCTATTATATGTACTTTACTCATAATTCTAACTAATATTATAAATGCAATGGTTAGTTTTTTTCTTTGTTATTCAATCAAACAAAAATTACTGAGTCAATTTTGTTGGAACTTGATTCAATATTCAATTATTTTTGCAGAAATTAAACATGCTGGACGCAAAATCTATAAAACTAAGTAGGATTAGTTACAATTTTAATAACTAAAGAACGGCTAGACAGATTTTGATGATTCTAATTTTTTTAGATTTGTCACTTTCCTGAATAGCAGAATAACTATTAGAATGTCAAAAATTATGACTTATAGGGCATTAAAAGTACAAAACTTGAAATAAAGATTCCATCAAAATTACACCTAAATAATTTAATCTGATATTATCTTAAAATCTATTATTAGGACTTCTTCTTCTTTAAAATATATTTGATAATCTTATAACACGATTTGACACATATTAAGTTGAAAATAAATTAATAGAAATACAATATCATGAATTCTTTAATTATTATAACAAAAAGTACCGATACCAGAATAACATTGAATGCAGATTGCGCATGCAGGTGCAGATTCTCGTGTTATTTTCCTAAATGGACAGCGACAACATTCTCGGCCACTTGATTATCGAGTTAGCCATACGCGCATCCCAGCAACTCGCGTACATGCTATAATTGTTTTGACTACCCTTAATTAAATCCAAACGGCGCTGTTACCCGCAACATAGTAACCAACTCAACTGACTCTAATTTTGCTGCGCTGTCATCAAACCAGATATTTTACTTTTAAACCTCGCATATGTTTTATTTTAATTTATATGCATAAATCTACTATATTATATTTGATCTCTGTGATGCGTAGATAAAATATTGTTATATGTGTGTGTTTGAGAAGCGAGATACTGCTCATACGTAATTAACGCTGAACTAATGAGAATGACGCAAGTTGACTAATTGTTTAATTGAATTCGGCACGATAAGCACGCCCAATCATTGGGGCAAACTCTCGCACGTGAGTTTAATTTATTAACCGGATTATGTTTGGCGGGTGATAGGTGGGGATATTTTTGTGAAAGAATATGATAATTGAGTTTACCAGAAGAATAGAAGTCAAAAGTAACGTAAAAGTAAATTATTTACGAGTATAAAACCGTAACGAAATAGTTTTCAAAAATCAATTATACGCTGTTAAACAAATATTATAAGTAAATTTGAATATGAAACAGGTACGAAATGATGTTTTCATTATTAGTTGATATTTTTATTAGTAAAAAAATACTCTTTACCGCTTAAAGCCATAAAATTATGCGCAAAAAGTAAATAAAGTAATTTGTAATGTAAAGCTCGATGCTGGAGATATTTTTCATAGATAAATATGCATGCAGATAAAAATATTTGCAAATTAAAGTTTGTCAA